TTAGAAAGAAAAAAGTTCTCTCTCTCTCTCTCTCTCTCTCTCTCTCTCTCTCTCTCTTTCTCTCTCCCCCCCCCCCTCTCTCTCTCTCTCATAAAGCACATCGCATGACCATAAGTACTTTGTATGTACGAATTGGTGCAGGCAAAAATGGGTGTATGGTTTAATGATGAATGTTAGTCAGACAAAGGCTGTGTAATAAGTTTATATGTATAACATGTAGTGAGTAGAGTAGTATGAAATCTGTAAGATGAGTGTTCTGTACAATTACCAATCTTTTTCTGTCATTATTTACAGACTTGTATCTCATTATTTGTCACGCGTATGTGTTCGAAAAATCTGAATAAAATTCGAAGTTACAAAAAAAAAAAAAAACACTGTCTCCTGCATACACACACGCTAGCATGCATACACTACACACACGGATACACGTCCTTAAATGACCTTAGCTGTTAATAGGATGTTAAACAAAATTGAAGGAGCGGAGAACGGTTGATGAACCTCATTCTAAGTATTTACTGTTAGACGGAAAGGCCTTTTAAGAATATACATGGGCCGGATGCAAAGGTCACGAAAGATGTTGCTGATGATATAATTTCATTAGAAAACAACGAAGAGAACCCGGATGTGAAAGGAAGTGTAACTCCTCAAGGAGGTGGTACTTATCGTATACATGTCACCAGGCACATATATATTGTTGTTTTTACGGTAGTAACAGGTACAGAGTGAGTAGGTATGTACGACAGCCCAGGGGCGATACGATAGTCGTTTTACTCGGTAATATTCGGATCTCTCCTGTTAACATCGGCTGTTTATAAAGTGCTTTAAGAAAAAAACCAACCGCCTTTCTTTACGTTAGGTATATCAAGATAAAATGTTTTCCATATTTAAGATATGTTGCATGCTTGCATATAAGTATCCCAAACTTTACATGTTTGTCGATGTTTTATTTTGGGTGTAATACAAATCCTGGCAACAGTCAAGAGAAGAGTGGTGCGAAGTTGACACAGAAGAAAGTCCAGATTCCACAGGGGCCCACATTACTCGCCTCACACGATACCATTGTTTAATGGCTGAATATGATGTTGTGACTTAAAAGTATACAAGACAAATCGGAAAAGGTATGTTGTCACCAAATCTTTCCCACTTGTTATTACCAAACACAACATGAACTGTCGCCTATGGGTTAACTAATACCCCCGCATTCTGGCGTCTTTTTGCCCATATAGGGGCTAAATAAACAAGTTAAATAATATATAGAAAGAGCAAGAATCATGAAAAGTCAAACTTCAGATGTCGTACCGACAGACAAATGAAAAAGACAAGCACCGCTACTGTGACCTTTGACCCCGAGACCTCAGAATTTCGTCACATTGTAGCATGCATCAATGCTACATATACTCCAATGTATCTGTGTACCAAATACCTACCATTTCAGCAATAATAAGCCATTTTAGTAACATAATGCATCTGTTACCTCTGACCTCATGACCTTGGAAGTTTGTCACAATGTAGCCTGCATAATTGCCTACGATACTGTAATGTATATGTGTATACGAAATATATATAATTTCAACCGGTTGACGGTATGAATTAGGATGTAATTATTTTCTCTTTGGTTTGAGAACGCCGATAGGTGGCGCTATTGGTGGTATTTGCACGTGCAAATGCACTGGGTTGTTACCTATACGTGTCATTCAGGCGACACAGAAAACAAGAAGCACACGTGTATTTTTTAATTTTCAAATGGGCTTATTATATTGAGAATAATAGGTGTGTGTGTGAGATGTACATTATTGTGTATTTGTGTTTATTAATCATGATGGTTATAAATAAACATCGGTCAGTGCCTATGTCGCTGGGAAATACAATTTTTGTATTCGTGTTGTTTATCCTATTGGAAAATGTAGAAGAGAACTACCATTTCCGAGATCATTGGCCATTTCAGTAACGTAATTCATTCATGACCTTTGACCTCTGACCCAACAACCTCGGAATTGACCACAATACCTAGGAAATTTGTCAATATTGATTTTTTTATTAATCCCTACACTATTACAATATATACGTTTGTTTGTGTCTACAAAATACCTACCGTTTCCGAGATATTTAGCCATTTCAGTAACGTTATTCATACGTGACATTTGACCCTTGACCCAATGACATCAGAAGATACATTCAACATTCCATAGTTTATGTGTATACAAAATACCTACCGTTTCTGAGATAATTAGCCATTTCAGTAACGAAATGTACCGTCTACAGACGGGTCATAACTCTGGTAAATATTGAAGGAACAAATTGGCGTTCAGAGAATCACATGTTCATCTGAGGTATAACATTTGTGCAAAGTTTAATCAATATCCATACATAAATATAGGAGAGGAAAGAGGTACACATGTTTTGTCTACAGCCAGCCAGACGGACGGACGGACGGACGGAAGGACGGACAGACAGACTGATTCTAATATACCTCCCACCCTAACTTCGTTGCGGGGGGTATACTAATCGATTTCCTTCTTCTTTATGAACAGAAAAACACACAATATTTTTAAAAGTAGTTTCTCATAAAGAGTAAGCTACATTATAATTCAAAATTCAAAAAGTGTATGCTATTCTGATCAACAATAAATAGAGATTCTTATCAAGATAAATGAGCATTTTGATCAAAATGATGACTTCGATGACTCCACAAGGTCAGAAAACAACACTGAAAAGACGCTTTGCATTTTTTAAAACTTTGGTCGTAATCATTCTCAGAGATATATGAATATGAGTGCTGTCTTAAATATTAAAAAAGTGTTAAGTGTATCGACTGGTAACTCTATTGTCAGTGTAATGTGATGGGGAAGTACTGTTCTGGGGGTGATGTTCGGTTGTAACGAAATAGAGAGTAAATTGAGGATGCCAAGTGTTGTAATTGGTGCAGGAAGGTTATTTTGGTTGATTTTATGTTTTAAAGCAGATGACATAAAAGCAAATATCAGATACCAAATTGGGCTTTCCATATTAGTCGCCTTTTATTACGCTTCAAGCAGAGGGTAACAAAAGGAATCTTCTCGGTAAAATTATAATCATTACCTGAGTGACAGTCCATCAACATAGGATATACCATCAGGGCCAAACAATGATGGATGCTAAAACAAATGTGAAATGAAGGTTATCTTTTGTGTGATGGACAGTTTAACCGTACCAGACCGGATGTTTCTTGATAGTGCGTTATTCATTCGCCTGTCGTCTGTCTTTAATTCTTGTTCTCGCTATAACTCGAAAAAATCTGAACTGCTATTTCATGACATTCACATGACGTATACCTTTCGTTCTCAGTTGTTTGGCCTTGGCTTTATTTTGTTTAACGTCCTATTAACAGCTTAGGTCATGTACGGACGTGTCTCCGTTGTGGGTGCGTGAATGTGTGTATATGTCCTGAAAACAGGGTATTTTGTTGTTTTCCTCAGTTGTGCATGTCTCTTTTTTGTGACTGATAAAAAATGGCATGATTCAAGTCTGTTATCACTAATTCTGAAGTAATACCGAACAGATCTTTCTGAAATTTCATACGAAGCTTTGCCGTGGCCCTGAGTTGTGCATGAGTGATCGGAGAAACAGGATGCCCACCAGACAGCCATCTTTTATTATGAAATTTGTTTTCGGTTTTCTGCAAGTCAGGGATCGAGAAAAGAATACACCTGCTGTTTTCAACTGCATATATCGTAAGAGACAAGTGTGGGAACCCCCAACATAATTGGGGATTCCCTTCTGTGCCCTCTACTTGGGGACTCCAAAGCGATCAAAATAAATCCGCTGCACCGACTCAAACTGTTTTTCTTTAATTCTTACAACCTTTTATTTCCCAGCGGCTTGCTTGGCAACACCTCACTTTTGGCTATAATGTAGAACGTTCACCCAGGTAAACAGGGAAATGGGTTCTGTCCCCCGGCCGCAACACACCGTAGTCCTAAAAAATGGTATTTCTTATTCACTGCTTGACGTTCATTTAATGGTAATGGCAACGACTGTTTCAACCCTTTTCAGTATAATATGACTGTGCTGAAAGCAGCGCTGGTTGCCATCGATATGGCATTTCAGTGAGGTACACTATAAAGCTCCAACACTGAGGCAATCCACCATCATACCTGTCCTCTACACACATACGCGTAAGCAAGTATATACAATAAACATGGAGGCACGTCCTTAAATGACCCTATATGTTTATAGGACGTGAAACCCTGTCCAACCAACTGTACAATCGCAAGAAGTCATGTACAGCTACTTTCTGTTTAAGCACGCATATACATGTGAACGCAGAAGTTACACAAATTGAGACACATCCTCAGATAACCTCAGATATTAAATCAATTGTAGGACGCTAAACCAAATAAAATCATCAGGATTCACATTTCTAAAACACGTGTATCCTCACTCTGCTATGAAGCTATGTTTGTTATATATTAAGTCTTTGCATCTATGCACAGAGCGGCATTATATTGTGTTGTCTCACATATTGTATCCGGTCTGATTCAGCTGTACCAAGCCGCGATATATAGCTTTATCAATTAGTACACTAAGATTGTTCCTTTTTTGTTAACGTGCGAATACATCAACTTTATTATCGAAGAGTCATTGTCGTTCACAGGCATGCAGGAACAATTCAGACATTTTGAACTTTAGCGTTATGTGTCATGAAGCTAATAATGCTTGCTGCAACTAAGAAGTAATTAATGTTCAAAGTCTTGTTTGCTTACAGAATTAATTACAAATTTTTTGAACATGTGTTATTTAGAAGATACGTTGTGCCCCTCCCTCTCCTCCTCCTCTCATGTTCTGATGACTGGTTTTAATGCAGCTTTCAGTAATATAAAAAGTTAATTTAATATTTTTGTAAATGTGCTAGGTTAAAATATCACGTTTAATTATTGTTAAGCTAATTTCGCGTTTAACAATTGTGCACATACGTTTGTCAGTGGTGCTAATCGCTCGATGGGCTGCCGTAAAACAAGCCCCCGGACACGCATATTTTAGTGTCGATCCCCAGCAATCCACACAGCCGCCACAGACGAGGGCTATATAAGCAACAGGGACGGTCAACTTTGGACATTCTGTGTTTAGATCTTACGAGTGTGGGAACAATTTAGAACTTAATCATGGTGGAACAGTTTCTCAACAAATGGAAGGCCGATATCACTTCTTACAGGAATTTCGACGAGGTCATGGACGCCATGCGTAAGTATATCTTGATAATTATAATACTTTTCTTGACCAATAAATGTTTATATGAAACGATGGGTTGAATTGTCAACTTTCACGTCGGTATACTGTGTATGCGCGTGATAGTACGACGATAGACGCGTGAGCACCCTGGCAGCGGATGTACCTGACAGGATACCTGATACAGGAGGGACTGCGACTTTTCACCTAAAATAAAATGTTTTGCCTTGATCTTGCGAATTCAAGTACAACAATCTGTGCAAAACAAATACCATGTGGGAGGCACCAAGCTTGAAAAACAAAATTTCCATATGAAAAATACGAAAAAGACGCAATATTTGTTCAATCATAGTTATCAACGATTCGTTTATAAATTAACAATGTTTAATTAACTGATGAAATATGTCCCCTTAAGTGTTACTACCAAATGTGAAAATAATTCGGACAGAGGTCATATCATATAGCCCAAGGGTGTTGGTAGTTAGCTATAGTGGATTTGTGACATTTCAGTGCTTGTTATCTCGGACAGAGCTCATATGATATAGCTGAAGGGGGTTGGTAGTTAGCTATAGTGGACTTGTGACATTTCAGTGCTTGTTAACTCGGACAGAGGTCATATCATATAGCCCAAGGGTGTTGGTAGTTAGCTATAGTGGACTTGTGACATTCCAGTGCTTGTTATCTCGGACAGAGGTCATATCATATAGCCCAAGGGTGTTGGTAGTTAGCGATAGTGGACTTGTGACATTCCAGTGCTTGTTATCTCGGACAGAGGTCATATCATATAGCCCAAGGGTGTTGGTAGTTAGCTATAGTGGACTTGTGACATTCCAGTGCTTGTTATCTCGGACAGAGGTCATACCATATAGCCCAAGGGTGTTGGTAGTTAGCGATAGTGGACTTGTGACATTTCAGTGCTTGTTATCTCGGACAGAGCTCATATGATATAGCTGAAGGGTGTTGGTAGTTAGCTATAGTGGACTTGTGACATTTCAGTGCTTGTTATCTCGGACAGAGCTCATATGATATAGCTGAAGGGTGTTGGTAGTTAGCTATAGTGGACTTGTGACATTTCAGTGCTTGTTATCTCGGACAGAGCTCATATGATATAGCTGAAGGGTGTTGGTAGTTAGCTATAGTGGACTTGTGACATTTCAGTGCTTGTTATCTCGGACAGAGCTCATATGATATAGCTGAAGGGTGTTGGTAGTTAGCTATAGTGGACTTGTGACATTTCAGTGCTTGTTATCTCGGACAGAGCTCATATGATATAGCTGAAGGGTGTTGGTAGTTAGCTATAGTGGACTTGTGACATTTCAGTGCTTGTTATCTCGGACAGAGCTCATATGATATAGCTGAAGGGTGTTGGTAGTTAGCTATAGTGGACTTGTGACATTTCAGTGCTTGTTATCTCGGACAGAGCTCATATGATATAGCTGAAGGGTGTTGGTAGTTAGCTATAGTGGACTTGTGACATTTCAGTGCTTGTTATCTCGGACAGAGCTCATATGATATAGCTGAAGGGTGTTGGTAGTTAGCTATAGTGGACTTGTGACATTTCAGTGCTTGTTATCTCGGACAGAGCTCATATGATATAGCTGAAGGGTGTTGGTAGTTAGCTATAGTGGACTTGTGACATTTCAGTGCTTGTTATCTCGGACAGAGCTCATATGATATAGCTGAAGGGTGTTGGTAGTTAGCTATAGTGGACTTGTGACATTTCAGTGCTTGTTATCTCGGACAGAGCTCATATGATATAGCTGAAGGGTGTTGGTAGTTAGCTATAGTGGACTTGTGACATTTCAGTGCTTGTTATCTCGGACAGAGCTCATATGATATAGCTCAATGGTGTTGGTAGTTAGCTATAGTGGACTTGTGACATTTCAGTGCTTGTTATCTCGGACAGAGCTCATATGATATAGCTGAAGGGTGTTGGTAGTTAGCTATAGTGGACTTGTGACATTTCAGTGCTTGTTATCTCGGACAGAGCTCATATGATATAGCTGAAGGGTGTTGGTAGTTAGCTATAGTGGACTTGTGACATTTCAGTGCTTGTTATCTCGGACAGAGCTCATATGATATAGCTCAATGGTGTTGGTAGTTAGCTATAGTGGACTTGTGACATTTCAGTGCTTGTTATCTCGGACAGAGCTCATATGATATAGCTGAAGGGTGTTGGTAGTTAGCTATAGTGGACTTGTGACATTTCAGTGCTTGTTATCTCGGACAGAGCTCATATGATATAGCTGAAGGGTGTTGGTAGTTAGCTATAGTGGACTTGTGACATTTCAGTGCTTGTTATCTCGGACAGAGCTCATATGATATAGCTGAATGGTGTTGGTAGTTAGCTATAGTGGACTTGTGACATTCCAGTGCTTGTTATCTCGGACAGAGGTCATATCATATAGCCCAAGGGTGTTGGTAGTTAGCGATAGTGGACTTGTGACATTCCAGTGCTTGTTATCTCGGACAGAGGTCATATCATATAGCCCAAGGGTGTTGGTAGTTAGCTATAGTGGACTTGTGACATTCCAGTGCTTGTTATCTCGGACAGAGGTCATATCATATAGCCCAAGGGTGTTGGTAGTTAGCGATAGTGGACTTGTGACATTCCAGTGCTTGTTATCTCGGACAGAGGTCATACCATATAGCCCAAGGGTGTTGGTAGTTAGCGATAGTGGACTTGTGACATTTCAGTGCTTGTTAACTCGGACAGACCTCATATGCTATAGCTGAAGGGTGTTGGTAGTTAGCGATAGTGGACTTGTGACATTTCAGTGATTGTTATCTCGGACAGAGCTTATATGATATAGCTCAATGATGTTGGTAGTTAGCTATAGTGGACTTGTGACATTTCAGTGCTTGTTATCTCGGACAGAGCTCATATGATATAGCTCAATGGTGTTGGTAGTTAGCTATAGTGGACTTGTGACATTTCAGTGCTTGTTATCTCGGACAGAGCTCATATGATATAGCTCAATGGTGTTGGTAGTTAGCTATAGTGGACTTGTGACATTCCAGTGCTTGTTATCTCATACAAAGTAGCGATTAGTTCGGGGATAATAACTTAAGTCAAATAACAAAACACCGCCTAAGTATATTAAACTTTGTTTGGGCTTTAGCTCCCTCGCAATAGTTAATGTCACATAAAGGAGGATGCACAGTGAGATACCGCAAAAAAAATCAATAGATCAAAAATAAACAAACAGAAGAGTGAAATAAAAAAAGGAAAGATCCCAAGTAATGCAATGAGGGCAGCAGGTCTATTTTGGCGTGTTATGTTGTCTTAGCAGAAGACACTGACGAAAACCCTGATTTAACAGGGGCCCAACATTAGTCGCCCTTTACGACATGTAGTGGGATATAGCAGGCTAATTCTTCCCTGAACGTGCTAGGGACATGTATTTGGGTACAGCAAATCCTACTCTTTCCCTAGACCTGTATAGCAAGGTTATGAGTACATCAGCCTACTACGTTAACAAAGCTAGTAGACCGTAAATATCGCAGATAAATGGCCGGAGGTTGGTATGGACTATCTTGGCTGTTTTTTTGTCAGTGTGCTTATTTGTTTGGTTTATTTGTTTTTGATTAAACATCCTCACAACAGGCAAGTTTTGGAATGGGGGCAGCAGATACACTTTGGCTTGTTCAACTTACCCAAGGTCATAATTGGTATGTTTTTTAATGGCTACATTACCAATGAATCTCAGTGATTTTCGGACATTCTCTTAAAGTCTAATAAATCATGGCTTTACATGTCAGACTTTCAGACTTGAATGTCCAGATATCTGAGAAACATAACTTTCGTTGTAAACAAATGGCATATACTTATTGTCTCTTTCCTATATACATTCAATAATACATATAAACGGACAGTACACACATAACATGAGGATAACTGGTAATAGTTAAGTACGGAGAAGTTTTTTATAATCTTTGCAATTAGATAACATAAATCGATATTTAAGTATTGCCTGGATATTGTTTTTTGTGGCAGACCGGAACATCATTTATCCTGAATTAAAACCTCCAGCATATTCGCCTTCCATAAAGGAATACCCACAATATAAAACTGATCTTGATAGATTTATCAGTAACATCACTATCACTGTTTTTTTCCGGATTAATAACTTCCACTTACAATGTTCTTAAGAGTTGGAAACATGTCTTTTTTTTGTTACGTGAATAAGCAGCTTTTTAAGCGGGATGCTATAGTCATGCGGAACACTATATAAATGAGCATCATGCCATTGTTAAGTCATATCTTGTAATGGAATCTGTCTTCCGTACAGATATTTTCGAATCGAGTATTTATTTCACCACAATGACAACATGAAGCAGTTTTAAAAAAACCGTTGGGGTGAGGGTGTATCAAAAAGAACATACTCCATTAAAAATTAGAAGACAGTACAATGAATAAGTTGTCAGCTTTTAACGTCTGTAGACAGCGTCTATGTCCCTTAACAATCGTCGTCCTTGTTTACACAGTATAAAACCTAAATATGTAGGAATGTTAGGCTGTGAGTAAAATAGCCATTACAGATTAGTTACAGCCTAATACTTTAATACAGCTGGCCGACCACATGTGTCCTACCATGGCTGTCCGGAGGCTATCTATGGAAAGCCATAGCTACCATATGTGTCTACTTGTGTTAAATGGGATGGCTATTTCCGAACACGTGCTCGTCATTTCATTATCATATTTAATAAACTACCCGTTACACCGAATGTAAGCAACCTTATTATCATGCTCGTTTCCAACAAATTACAGATTTTACAGAAAACAGTGATACATTCGGTGATGTAACAACTTAGACAAAAATTGTTTGATACCGTTTTCGGTCATTGGATAGTTGATACTTAAGCATTGAACTGCTTTTTATCGTATTTATGATCTATTTGAATGATTCAAATAGATCATAAATACCATACAAAAACAGTTCAAAACTTATATTTACGTTTTCTCTGTCTCTTGTGTTCTTTTTTAACTTATAATTTATATTTAAAATAAAAAA